TGTTTGTACAGGCATAAAAAATGATGTGCGTCGTTGTTGTTTGTGAAACGTGGGGGACAATCAGGTTTTAGTTCTTTGTGTTTGTCTTTGCATACAGTGTTTTTTTTTTGCTGCTTATGGGGATTTGACGTTTGGTCTTTCATGATCATGTATTTTTCATCCTCTGAGACTTTCATTTTGTCTGGCATGCTGGATCGTCTGACCCTGGAGGGGGAGGGGGGGAGGGGGGGGCTGTCGCCTTGTGAGGCATGCCGATGCCTTTTGTGGCGGCCCCCAGACAACTCTATTCCTCGACGGTTGTCTGAATAAACTATGATTGATTGATTTGATTTGAAAAATATGTAACGTTGCGGGCTCAGTCAAGTATGCGTCGGTTTTCGGCGCCTGCTCTAGTGATAATGCGACAAAATTCTGCAGGTGTCTTCATGTGCGACGTATCTTTGCATTGCGGAGTCAAGGAAGCATCTACTTTAAATAGTCTTTTATGACCTTAACGAGTACTTCCCCATTCGGCATTTTCAAGGGCACCAGTCTATTCACCGGTCTCCCGTTTGAAAACGACAGCGCAATGAGGTAGGCAGAATTGTGGTCGCGTTTTAAGATGTGGCACTTGCCTTCCCAAATGATGTCGCTACTCTATTGAACGGATTACTACGGCGCCCACTGCAGCAGCGCGACCTCCAAGGAAGCCCCCAGACCACTCACGAAGCAGACGCCTTTGAAGCCCAGCGGACTTCCTCCGCAGAGGTGCCAGGCGTTTATGTGCGTCCGGAAGACGCGTCCGTACACCTGCTGACAGTCGCTCAGGGGACGCAGGGGAACCGGCAGCTTGTTCAGCACCGGGGACGTCGTGCCTGCAGAGGAAAACGCGCTAGAAGGTCATCTCTGGTCTTGACTTTACGAGGAATCAAGTCACCTGTAATAGACTGCACTGCTTATAAATTTTTTAAACGTTTTGTTTAGTAACAAACTTTTTTGTAATGTCTATCCGAAAAATGTCACATATTATAAATGGCCGCGAAAAGTCTTGTTGTCCTACTTTTTAATAGCGAAAGAAAGAATTTACTACACCTTCCAACTGCAGTCAAAATGGAAAGTATTTGCTGGCAAAACAATTTTTTCTAAGATGTGTCTACTTACTGCCAGTTTAAACAATATCCAGAATGGAATAGCTTGTTTTAATAAAATTGTTCGAATGCCGGAAGCTGTAATTTATTTTACAGATTTATCACTGGACAAATATGTACTTATATTATACAGGAAGCCACAGAAACTACGAATGTCAAGAGAAAACAGGTGTATGTGAGGTAGTTTTTTGTTTTACGAAACGGTGCATTAAGTCATAAAGAAACGCATTATCCATTCTGCATTTTGTCACATATTCCGTTTAAATGGGAGCTGGGGCCTGTTGGTAAGGAGTACTGAGTAAAACCTATTGAACACAAAAACAGAAGAGATGAAAGAGGCCACAAAACCGACGAACTTGCAACTGCAGTTTAATCGTCAAGGCACACCAGCAGATTCCTGCGCGCTGATTGCGGTTGTTACTATGGTGCAAGAAGTTGTAACTCTACCAGATAACGACAAATTTTTTGAAGTCAACTGGTGTGTGTGTGTGTGTGTTTTGGTTGGTCGTGGAATATAAGATTGTGCCCTGATGATTGAAGGAAAAAGCTAGAGGTCCTTAAGAAAACAAACGAGTTAGAGGTGAATTCTAGAGTATTTTTGTCCCATGAATTTTGAAAATCCCAAACCTATGACCCGAACGTAACAGTACACGCGAGAAAAAAACGGAAAAAAAGCAATCTCGCTCGTGGGACGTCTAACACAAAGGTTTGAGCCTCCCTGCCCATTCCGGTTCTGAGGGAACGCGTGCCGCGCTTTTGAGTGCTCGGGTAAGGCTTCCAAAAAGCGAGGAAATATTGAGATCTCTGCATATACTCAGAGCTCTGCATAACCGCGGATCATCCGGGGATCATCCACGAATCTGGATAGAAAGTTATCAGATTTGGCGGCTCGTGGATGGGATCCTCATATCCGCGGGTCCGGATCTACATGTTTGCTGAGGCGACCCACAGACGTGCGTGACCTCGGAGTGTACTAGTAAATAAATAAGTGGTTCTCTGAAGTGCGTCATCGAATGTTTCGCGGGAGAAAATTACTGCGTCGGTGCCAATCGTGGACACAATTGCTTCTTACACCACAAAAGACCCGAAGGTTTTTAAAATATTGCTCTAGAACCTTCCATATCGCCTGAAATGCATTTACCAGGAAAATGGAAATATGCAGGGGCATCAATCGTGCTGGGAAAGCATGTTCTTGTTTGACAGGAAAAGAACGGAAAGAGTATCTTGGCGAAGAAAATCCAACGCGTACGAACCACAAGAAAGTAGAAGAAGCCTCCTCGACGAGTGATCCGTGGTGTGTGTGTGTGCGTTTTATTGTTTACTCGACAGTTCGCAAGTTGCTGATAAGTATGTGTTTTGGAGCACGCAGCTCGGGGTCGTGTTTAAGATTGAAACCGATAGAAGGTGGTGCCATTATTTATGATTACATTTTCGCCTTAATGTGCTCGCGTCTTGCCACGTATATAAGAGTACTTCAGTCTGGAGAGTGACCGCCTTTCCTCTCCCACTTGTTTTATAGTTTGGCCTAGATAGAACGCCACCTTGTTATCTGTCTTTCCTTTATAAAGCTTTGTGTCCAAAAATTACTCGTCTGCTTAAATTGGGCGTTACAAAAAAAATGTGTTTTGAAATGCTCTTTCATTTGACCTCACCTTGGTAGAATTTCGCACACTCCCAAGACGGTTTCGTAACAGCCATAATCTTTCCAGAAACGCGAAGTGTCTCTGGAAGGATGATCGCTTATAATGCAAGAACGATCAAACAAAATGCGATAAAATGACTTTCACAATAACCTTACTTGAACAGTGTGTGCACTAAGATAGCAAACGGCACATAAAATACCACCCACACACTTTTTTTTAAAATTTAGTTTAGGCTTCATGTAGTGTCTCTCGAATTTTGCGGATGCGGTGCGAAGTCGGATACAAAGTCTGCGGATGCGGGTAGGATGCGGATGATAAAACTTTTATCGGCGCAGGTTTCTGTATTATACTTTACGATCTCGTCCTCGCACCGAATGCTTCGAGAAGGGGGGACTTTGGCGCTTCTCTCAAAGCGCCCTTGTGGTACTTGGCATATCCATCTGCATTATAATTTGATATTTGTAATCCTAGAGGCCAACTAAAGAGACTTTAGCTGTCCTTTTCTCAAATACAAAATTACTTGTTTTCCTTTAAACTTCATTTGTAAGTTAAGCGATCGTGTGTCGTCTTTCTTCTGCCCTGTTCTTGTACGCTGTTCGTTTTAATCATCGTCACATAATATGAGATGCCTGATTGATGTTAAGCTCATATAAAAAAATCATGAGCCATTCCACTGTGAAGGTAGATGACCAGCGAAGCAATTCAGCTCATCACACAGAGCCGCCCCGAAGAGCCGGAGGAAACTAGACACGCGCGACGGGATCACCACCCGGCACGAGTGGTGATCTGATCACCACTCGTGCCGGGTGGTGATCCCGTCGCGCGTAGAGAGTAGAGATGGGCATTTTATCAAACAAAATTTACTCGAAGAATTAGTATACCCCCCCCCCCCCCCGGGAATACAAAATTAATGCTAAGCCTCTTCAATTTCTTCCTCTGCCCTCCGCTTACAAATTTCTTATAGAATTGTAATGCACCTGAATAATATTGTGCTTGCTTATAATGTGAATCACGTTGATTAAGTTATTTGTTTGGTAACAGGTTAATAACTGAGAAGAAGCTTGCTTCCAGCACATGCTCGTTGCCTTCCGCCAGGCTTATGCTGCGCGTTCGACGAAGTCGCCTCGAATGCAGGAAGCTCACGCTCGAGGCTCAAAACCCGATTGGTTTTTAAGCTTACACCAAATACACAGCCGTAAAACGACGTAGCAACAAGGGGTGAGCAATCTGGGTTTGCAACGAGACCTAATGGGTATAAGACGGCTTTTTTACCTTGTGCAGCTAAGGGCAATTTAAATAATAGCTACATTTTCAATAACAGCATTACAGTTTCCTAAGTGTAATAACTGATTCTCAAAAAAAAAAAAAAAAACTTTTGAGCACACCTAAGCACTTCTTATGAGTGTTTAATGCGCAAGCACTCTCGGCGCCGAGATTAGCAGAAGCGGCCGCAGCGCCGGCAGGAAGTGCGGCGGTGCGCCGCGCAAACCACCCTGGCTCGTTGGTGACTTCTGCGCCGTTGGGTGCGGCAGCGGCGGGAGTGCGAAGCTCGGCACGGCGCGTGTTGACATGACGTGTCCCCTCATCATCATCATCGCCCTAGCTGCGGGTACCGGTTGGCGGCATTAGACCTCAAAGCATAAGTCTAGGCCTAACGTTGGGCCTAACGTCAGGCCAGCGCTTTCCCGCGTCCAGTACCGCTTGACAACGTTAGACGTCAAAGCGTAACGATAGCCCTAACATTAGGCCTAACGTCAGACGAGCGCAAGGATGGCCAGCGCATACTGGCGTCCCCCCTCTTGCTGAGCCGCCATCAGTTCGGCTGGCTCCTTAGAAACGCTGACGCCGTTGTTGTGGAGCCAAGTGACACGTCGCAGCCAATGGGAAATTAGGTGCGGTCTCGTTCAGCCAACGAAATTTAGGTGCCGTTTTTCGCTGCTACAGACAACGACAACTTCACTCCATGTAACAGTTAATTCTTTCGCATTAAAAGCAGGAAATATAACTTTCGGTTGAGTGGACCTTTAATTGTTGGTCTTTAATTGATATCAAGTGAGAAACGAGCACGGGGCGTACCATGCACGAAGGTGTTTCCCCAGCCGGAGATGGTGCAGTTCAGGCCCGGGTCCAGCAGGATGTCCCCGGGGGGCAGGCAGATGGGCTGCACGAAGCGGGACAGGCGCAGCCTCTTGGCTAGTCGCACGATGGCGACGTCCCTGTGCAGGTGCACGTAGCGCGGGTGCAAGTACACGTGCGTCACGCGGACCTGGATCTCGCTGCCCTCGTGTACCGTTTCGTCGTGCTCGCCTGCCCGTACATACAGGCTGGACGGAAGGACCGTGCGGCCGTAGTCGCTGTAGAGAACGCAAGCGTACAAGTTTTGTGCAAGGTACAAAACAGAAGAGATGTGCGATACTAAATACCTTCTGCATTGCGCATTAAGAACCGAATACTTTATGAACAAGGTATTTAGAGAAGAAATGCAGCCTTAGTGTTTTAGAACACAAATATTTTAAAGTAATTCAATTGCTTTCGCAGATAATTGAAAAGCAGACGTACGTGCATATTGATATCCAGTATTTCCACGTTAAAAATAAACAAAAACAAATAGGTCGTTCCACTTACAGTAACCCCGCTAAAATTCATCTCTTATGATTATTTTATGCACCCTTACCATATTTAGGTATTTTTACGCTGACAAAGCACAATTCTAAAGCAAATTAGCGATAAGCAAGAAACCGGGTAAACATAGGTGAAAACCGAATCGAAATAATGCCATAAACGTATACATTTATGGCATTATACCTTCATGGCAGAAATAGTTATAAACATAAATAGAAAACCACTATAGTGGGTTTATGTCTATTTTTTATAACTCTTTCTTCTGCACATCTTCATTGGAACACAATCTTTTTTCACTGACTCAGAAGCTTTCATCGCTCATGAATTGCCAGTATACAGTTGCCAATCTTTTTGGCAGCACAAATATGTTTTTTATACCTACCATAAGCATAGCCAGCTGAAAATCAAACCGACTTCCCCCTTTATAGCCTTCAGTAAAGGCATCTCCATTAAGACCGCCATAATTGAACACTGTTTAGTCCTGCACCCTGTTAATATGTTCTTTTCGGTTTGAATATATCTAACTTTATGAATTCGATAGCAGATTGTGCTTACTCCCCGCGTAACGCCACCCGAGCCCAGAACGTACCGAAATGAATAAATAAATATTTCAAGGGCCAGGCACCTACCGTGATTTTTCGCTGACATACCCACTCAGCTAAGTATGTTTAAAGTAATTATTGAACATACACTAAACCAAAAATATTTGGGTGTGGGGATGGTGGCACGTCAACAGTGCACAGTAACAGAATGTTCGCCATGTATTTTCAGCTCTTGCCCGCCTGCACTCTGATTTCTGCGCATGGAACGAGTCATTGACTTTACGTGGGCCATACGCCGCAGAAGCAGTCGTCATGGACGATGACCCACACGTTCGTCGACATCACTGAAACGGATCCGAGGCAAGGTGACGCCGCGGATCAGCACGTTATCATCGATGGACAGCGATTGCTACCGTCATCGACTGGACTTCACTCTGGTGGCAGCTTCGGCTGTACTTATGCGCCACTCGACAGCTTTTTCGCCAGTGGGGATGGTGGCACGTCAGCAGTGCACAGTAAGAGAATGTTCGCCATGTATTTTCTGGTGAGTAACAATGTCTCCTACTTCTGTAAGCGAAGAGACGATATTTTTTTGTTCGTGCTGCCATCCCCAACGGCCTGAATATCTATTGCATACCAGTGTTTTTGTATTTCGTACGTCTGTTTTTCTTGGAAGGCGTCAAGCTAAACCCTGGTCATGATACTCTAAACCTGCAAACCGTCCTTGATAAACTGGATACCATGAACGCATCCCTTCTTTCTGAAATAAGAATTATCTGCGTAGGCCAGGAAATTCCAACTAAGTCCTTGGCTGAATTAAACTCGCGGGTATCAGTAATTGAAGACAACCTAAGCGACGTAAAGGCAATAAAGGATGGCATGACTTGCGTAAAAGACTCGGTGACTAAGAAAACAACTAGTGTAGACCAAGTTCGGCTCCGTTTCGATGAGCTGGAAGACCGCTCGCGTCGAGAGAACCTGATGTTTGGGGGGATTAATGACGCACCAGAGGAGAACATGGTCTCAGTCAGAGCAAAATGTGATTTCCCTATGCAAAGAAAAGCTTGGAATAGACCTGGGACCCTTACATATCAATCGAGCACATCGCATTAGTCGCTCCGCCCCAAACAAAACACGTTCTATAATTGTTAAACTGACTCTGGGTGAAGTGCGGCAGCAGCTCCTATGTTCCCAATCTTCGCGACAGCAGAAGACTTCTCGCTCAGTACACGTAGTGCACGCAGCAAGCTAATCGAATATGGAAAGTCACAAGCAGCTCCTTTTAAGTTCTTTCAACAAAGTTTTACTGAACGGACGATGTTACATCAATGACCAATCTGACGACACTATCTTTGAATGTGCAATTTAACAATCAGCTAGTAAAACTAGAATTCGAGCACGTCCAACTCGTGAAAATGGGGCCCGACCAGTTAGTAGGAAAACAGTACAGTCACAACGTAGTAATGCCAGCGATACCAACACGTTGTCTCATTCTGTACGCGAATATTAGAAGTCTAATGCCAACGCGTGACGACCTGAAAGAGTTGCTTGGTGTCATGAATGTTAGCATTATTGCACTAACTGAAACCTGGCTCACGTCGGAAATACTAGATAGTGAAATATCTTTGAACTCGAGTCATCAATTTTCTTTTGATGTATTTCGTAGTGACAGGGTTTCAGGGGGACGCGGTGGTGTCCTGCTTGCTATTAATAATCGTCTTCAGCTCCGAAAATTGAGCGTTATATTAGATTTAGAAATCGTATTTGTTTCCATAAACTGTCTACACGGTGCAGTCATTGTCGGTGTCTGTTATCGCCCACCTTCTTGTAATATTTCCTTTGTTAGCAAACTGCATGATGCACTCTGCGACGGGAGAATGCGGCCCCCTTTAACAAAACTGGTTTTGGTTGGAGACTTTAACTACCCAGACATCGAACGGGGCAGCGACGTTGCATCAGCAACTGCGACTAGGAATGAGTCTAATCTTTTAATAAACTTGTGTCTAACGTTTATCTTCGAGCAACTAATTGTAACACACCCAACACGAGTGACTGAGCCATCGCCCTCGGTCCTTGATTTAGTCTCGCGTGGCACAGTGAAATAATGAGAGATGTAAATATGCTTAACGGCCTTAGTGATCACAAATGCATCCACTGCTCCTTGCACATTAAAAACGACACGGCCATGGTGTCCTGCCGCAAACTTTGAGTATATCGAAGAGCTAACGTCGACCTCATTAACATCCGCATCAGCTCTCTTGTGGACTCATATATGCCTAACTTTTTGGATCGCTCTGTGCAGGAGAGTCAGATTCTTTTCAAAGAAACGCTACTTGCCCTAACCGATAGACACATACTGCTAGTACAGTTTCAGGAGACACATACTGCTAGTACAGTTTCCTGTCACAGAGCTTCAGTCGCTCTGTAACAGGAAGAAATAATTGTACCGACGTGCACGTCTTCTTAACACTGATAAAGGCATGGTCCTGCTTTTCTGTTGCTTTCGCACCTTACAAGTCAGCCGTCGAAAAAGCCAAAGCACAATTGTATCAGCACGACCTTGCCGCTATCCTCAAAAGTAACCCTCAGAAATTTTGGAGCATAATTAATCTCCAGTATCGTAAACCAGACTCTTTAGTAAATGACAATTGGCTTTTCCTTACCGATGATGACGCTGTTGAAACTTGTGACACATTTTCTGCCGTGTTAAATCATACTATCATCACATCACCGCCAGATAATTCACCACTGTCCGTGCCACATACGCATTTATTATTTTTTTTTTTTTTGAAAACGGCGCAAGTTAATACACGCGGTCAAAACGACATTGCCACCAGGAGCTGACGACTTAAACGGTAAAATATTGAAAATGACTAAACCGTTGTCAACTGCTTTTCTAACATCATTATTACAACAATCCTTAGATACCGGTGATGTTCCCGACGACTGAAAAGAAGGTCAGGTCATTCCGGTTCACAAATGTGGCGATTCTCACTCCCGTCTAAATTACCGGCCAATATCATTAACTTCTGTATGCTGTAAGCTCATTGAACATGTCATTCATTCTCAAGTTATGCAATTCCTGGAACAGAATAATTTCTTTCTCCCCAATCAACATGGCTTTAAGAAACACCGTTCATGCGAGACGCAGCCGGCCGCATTCTGTCACGATAATCATTCTTCTGTAGAAAAGTGTCACCAAGTTGATGCCATTTTTCTCCATTTTTCTAAAGCTTTTGATCGCGTTTCCCATAAACCTCTACTAGCGAAGCTGTCCACACTGTCTCTTGACTCTTCCCTTCTAGCCTGGACCGAAGGCTTTCTCCCCTCTCGAAGCCAGCATGTGCAAATTCACAGCTGCCGTTCTCGATGCGCTCCTGTAACCTCCGGTATACCTCAAGGAACTGTTCGTAGACCCCTATTTTTCCTCGTGTATATTAAAGACTTCCCTTTTGCATTATCTTCTAACGCTCGTTCATTTGCTGATGACTGCGTAGTCCACAGAGCCATATCTAACACAGACGACTTGCGAAACCTACAGGCTGATCTAAACCGAATTAACGATGGGTGTTTAAAGTGGCAGATGCTACTAAATACATAAAAATCCAAATGCCTCTCTTTCTATTGAACGCGTCAACATTTTCACTCTGCCTACTCTGTTGGTAATCTTAATATTGATTCCGTGTCAACTTACAAGTATCTTTGCGGTAACTTCACTCGCGACCTTTCTTGGAAAACTTATATTAATACTATCATCTCCGACTCAAACCGCACTCTTTGTCTTTTACGCCGTAATCTTCGTATCGCGTCCTCATCTGTGAAGCGACTTGCATATGTCACATCGGTAGGTCCGAAACTAGAATATGCATCGTCAGTCTGGAGCCCCCATCTTGAATACCTTGTATCCGACTTAGAATCAGTTAAAACTCGTGCCACTCGCTTTATAACGTCTCAATACTCAAGGTTTGTTAGTGTTACTGAACTTAAAAGAACTTTACTATTAACCCATTTGTGTTCACGCAAGCGCATCGCTAAAGTATGTCTTTTTTACAGGTTTTAGTTCGGCGATCATCTACACAATTAATTAATCTTGCAACCTCATCGCATATAACCTCGCATTGACCACCATTCAAAAGTTGGCTTTTTTTTTCATTCGAATT